GTTTGTAAAATTACTTTACGACTCTCTTGTATGTAGACATAATTCATAATTCCCTTCCGAATTTCAGAAGTTTATAATGCAATAACTATTAAAAATAGAGTAAAAACGTGCACAGCAATACATAAAAAAATCTGACGTGAACGCCACATAACTTCTGCACGGCATATTTAAATATACAGATATTTTGCTGCTTTCATTTAAAATTATTACCTCGAATTAGTAACTTAATTAATCATTAATTCAAAACAAGTTGAAATGACATCAAAAATTGCAAATTTTGAAATTAAATATCCCGGCCAATTTCGTCATTTATAACATTTCTGTAATTAGAAGTAAGTATACGACCACGATCAACGACTGCGAAAATAAAGACCGAGTAAGGGTACTTTAATGGGGTAATTTTGATACTGCCAGTTGCAATGGAAAAAGGGAGGTGATACGAAGATCTCTGCAATTTTTAATTAACCGACTCCTCAAGGTAAATTGCAAATAACTTCAAAAACTGCAAATTTTGAAATTATTCTAACTGGACAATTATTCTAACTTTATTAAACAATTAAGGCAAGTTGAAAACGACATCAAAAATTGCAAATTTTGAAATTAAATATCGCGGTGAATTTCGTCATTTAAAGCAATTCTGTAATCAAAAGCTTCTACCAACGATTGGGAAGGCCGGGGTGGGATTATTGAGAAAACTGTGGCCAGGTAAGGACTTTTAAGCCGAGTAAGAATAATTTAAGAGGGTACTTTCGGCACTGCCAATTGCAATGAAAAAGAGAGGTGCACAACTAGGTGTAGTAACAGTCTCTTATACAAAATATCCACCTTCTACGGCTAATCATTTATGAGTTATGCGTGAGACGTCACGCAAGAATTCCCTTTGAATCCATTTTACAATCCGTTTTGGAATGAAGTCCTTTATTCTGCCCGTATGTACGATGCAAGGGGGAAAAAAAAGTGAAAATGGATTCCTAGCGGTCAAAATTTATTTCCATTGAAATGTGATACTCGAAATTTTTCACGATTATAATATTTCCCCTACTTCGTACAAGAAATTGAAAAGGTCTGCAAGTGTGTATTCATAACTGGCCGTATCATTTAATTGTAGAATCAGTCGCTAGATGGCAGTATTTCGCAAATATGGTGAGAGTAAAGCTCACTTCTAAGAATTCTTTAAATCAGTGCTTTTTAGACTTTTTTCGTTCGCGACCCCTTTTTATCACTGAGATTTTTTTCGTGACCCCCACCCCAGGACCCCATAATATTTACAAAAATTTTGTGGGACCCCATAAGTATTGCGCAAATCCGTCATACGCGTGAGTGAAACTGTCAATTTTTTCACTTGTACTGTAATATGGTATTGCAGTTTTAGGTCATTAACTTTAATTTCTAATTTTAAGACGTAGAACAATGTGAAAATCTTAAATAAGTAACAGACGAAATGACAGCGTCATGTGCAAAACAAGGAAAATGAACGTTTATATTATAAAAAGAATGCGTCGAAACGTTTGCGTTTTCTTCTTTGTCTTATCTTTATCTATTTTCAGATACATTGTGTAAAAATATTTGGTAATTATAAAATTATTATAATAAGTTAAAGAAATATCAAAACTGTTAAAATTTTTAGCGACCCCCTGCTGCAGGTCACGCTGACCCACAGTTTAAGAAACTTTGCTTTTAATGTAAGTCAGTTGTGATGGTAGGAAGGATATTTCCTGTTGAAAAGTGGAATAGACAAGTTTCATATTCAACAAAGCAGGCCTAGACTGTCGTCTGAGACCGAAGTCTGCTGCATCAACGAATATACACATATGTATGGTTCATGCAAAAAACAATCATCTGTATGGTTCATGCAAAAAACAATGAGAGATTTATTTTTATGTTCTAGCGTGGCATTTTGGCTTTATTTATTATAGTTTTTATGATATATATTTTCGAAGCCCCTTCATTGGTTGCGATACCGATGTGTACTTAAGAGTTAAATTTACTATCAATAATGGGAGGTTCTTCTACACAAGGAAAACCTAGGTTTCCGGAAAAGAAAGCTTACTAGAAAATCGCAGGCATCTAACCTTTATTATCAATCATAAATAGTCAATCATAAAAAAATTTGCAAAAGAGACATTTCCGAATAATTTACTAATTTACATTAATTCATGAATAAAAAAGTAGACAACCAATTCATCATAAATTCAAAATTGAATTAACGTAAGGCAGTCGAACCTTCCTTATTAGCAAATGCTTTTGGGATTAAAGTTTTTTTTATTAGAGAGCATCCACTAAATGGGTGCCATGGGTGTCCTTCTATAGATCCATTAATGGGGAGTCCATTAACGGAGTTTCCCTTGTATATTTTTTCACTTAAAAATTACTTAAAACAGTAGTAAGTAACAGGGCTAGTTCAAAATTATGTTAATTAAATTTTTGGAACACAAAAATAATTTAATATTGATAAAAATACTGCATCTCTAAACTTTCATCTCTTTTCAATCTGAATTATAACTGAAATTTACTTCATACTTTAGTTAATTTTAAACTCCGGATTTCTGGCAATATTTAGAAGCAATAATAACTGGATTTCCAATATTTTGAAGCAAGTACAGCTTTGTTATTACTTTCAAGAGTGAAATATAAAGTATTTTTCTCTCTCACGTTTTTAATGCGAAGGATGGTGCTGCCATCTATTGGTTATTTGATAAACTAATAGACAAAATTGAAATCGTATCAGCCCTAGCAAATCTTACAAATTCATCACATTTTGAAGAAACTGAAGGACTCACAACGTAAGGAAGCAATATAAGATATATTAACAAATATAAATTTTGATAAAAGCTTCAATGTTTAAGTACAGAAGTTTTCATTAAAAAAAATTCAATATTATCACGGATTTGGTATTTAAATAGCTTATGTTAGTTGAATTGTAAATTAAGTGGTTTTATTTCCCGCGCAGTTCAGCGCGTGACGAATATTAAAGGAAAGCTAAGCCGGAAAACTGAAAATACAAGAGCGCGTGCATTTAACATTTAATAAATATCTCTTTTAGATTTCGAGAAAGTTCCAGAAAGTTCTCGGGCGCGATTTAAAAATCTTATAAAAATGAGGAAACCTCTGAATTCAGTCAGTGATTTTTGTTTTTTTTTTTTTTTTTTTTTTTTTTTTTTTTTTTTTTTTTTTTTTTTTTTTTTTTTTTTTTTTTTGTTTTTATTTTGTTGTTGTTTTAAGACTTTGTTTAATAAACTGCTATTGCTGACTGTAGCGAATTCGCATGGATTAGCTTTCTTTAGCTGTTTTGAATTAAGTTCTGTTGAACCGTTTGAGTAGTTAAAAGATAACTACTGTGAGATATTGTAATACTGCACGATAATTTGAAGAAATTTAAGCATATTTGTTGTGATAATAATAAATTTTGTCCATTTTTCATCGAACTTGTGCATTCAGTTTAAACGAACCCGTACGCACACAACAATATTAATGGTAGTTTCTATGTATACTTGCGGTAATAATGTAGCTCATTTTCATCAGTATTTTGTTATACTATTTATATATAGATGAAGAAAGTCTGTTTGTTTGCTAACAACTCAGTCACTGCTATAGCTATCGTCACCAAAATTTCTACAATTCTTTTTTGGGTTCTGGAAAAGGTCGACGTCCAATGTTTTCCAAGAAAAATAGCTAAAATCAGAGGTATTAATTAAAAACTCGGAAAAACGATAATTTTCGCTCTCATTTTTCCGAGTGGCAACAGTCTTGCAAGCTGGAGATGAACATCTGCTTTATTTCGATAATTGTTGCTACTGCTCGCTTTCAAATCATAGAGTTTGTTAATAAAATGTTTCTAAGTTATACAAAAAAAAAATAAAAATAAAAATAGCATTGCCAAATATTAAATACATTATTCCCGATTCCAAAAATTCGTGGGAAGCCATTTCGACTGCGTCTGACTTTAAACAGCCGAGATATTAACTAAAAACTCCAAAAACATTAATTTTTTCCATTCATTTTTCCGAGTAGCAACAGTTTCACGCGTTTTTGGAGATAAAAATGCTTTATTTATTGCTACTGCTTGCTTTCAAATCGTAGAGTTTGTTAATCAAAAATCTGTAAGTTTTACAAAATCTATATATATAAGGAAGAATTGTTTGTTTGTATGTTTGTTCGCATTATTGGTTTCTGAGTAAATATGATCAAGCTTTTGCCACATTTAATCGACTAAAATTAAATACAAGTGAAATATTGGATGGAACTTGAGCTTTTACGACCATTTGATTAGTGTAAAATATAAGTTTACGACTATGTATCCTTAGATTGCCAATAGATGGCGGTAGTGTTTGTAAACAGAAACTGATGTCATAATTATGTATATGTTTTCAGTTCGTCTGCGGTGTTTGTCGATAAACCTTGTGTGGAATAACGCTTTCTGTTTATTACTTTACAATAGATCCAGTCTGATTTATTAGAGACTTACATATATTTTGTTTAATTAGAAAGACGAAAATCATTAAAAACTGCGTGCCATTGTTGCTGATATAATGAGAGAGTATTAATTTATTTTTTCTATCGAAATTTTTTATGTGAGTTCCATATCGCACCAGACTAAAAAATATACGACTATGAATTGTACTTTTTGGCATCGTTATTAGAGAAGAAGATTACAGCCGTATCGTTCTCTCTGTTGTTAGATGCATTACTCTCAGTCTAACGTAACTGCAATCGAGTATTTACGCTAGTATTATTGTATAACCAGAATAAGAATTTTAGTGCATAATATTGCCTGCTTATCATTTTTACGTGACGTAGCAGATCTTAAAACATCACAGTATTTACTAAGTACAAACTTTCCTCTTATACCTACTGTTATCAAGCATACTTTTGAACTTTTCGTAGGATTTCTACACAACATAAAAGTATTTTAGAATAAACTAAATATATTTTTAAATGCGAATTCAGGTCTGGAAAGAATTTTATATAACACAATTACGAAAAGAAAAAAAAAAACTGTACTATTTTCAATCACACTTTTTGTTTTTATAAAACTTATGATTAAAACCGATAATTAATGAACATACTTCGCTACATTACATTTCACATAACCAAAGATTAAGCTTCCTTTGATTAGCCCAAAGATAGTACAAAGCAAATTGCTATTATAGTTCAGTCTCCTTTTGTCAGTTTCAAATGAAACACTGAGATAACTTCTTACTCCTCGACAGCTACTCGCTGCATCTTTTTAGTTTTGCATTCATTGAACCATGTTTCGTATTCTTCGCATATTTCTCTTTCCAGTATTTTGAAGCAAGGTAATCGAACGACATCAAACATGAGTTTGGCAAACTCGAGGGAACTTTCGGATCCTTCATCTTCGAGGCATTTCCGAAATTTCTTAGCACTTTCGCAAGATGTGATTGGCCAAGGAAAGACGTTGAAGTAATGATGCCGTTCGCTAAAAGCTGAAAACAAAAGAAGTCAACAAATTAATTGAAGCGTATTAAAATTTATATATTTAATTACATAAAACATAAAATTATTAATTAAATTAATAATTTTATATTTTCTTGTAAAATGTAAAGGAATACTTTTGCTGTTAAATTCCACGGACGATTAATAAAAGCAATACGTTTAAATTCCACGGACGATTAATAAAAGCAATACGTTTAAATTATAAGCATTTAAAATATGTATTGATTTATACATATGCTTGATATAGATAAAAAGGTCGATAATTTGAGCTTTTGAATAACGACGAAATTTGTTCTAAAGTTTATTTTAATTACAATAAAACCTTGTCGAACGTGGTGGCTACGTCATTAATGCATCAGCAAATTAGCATTAACTTTACACGGAAAAATGTGTTATATATAAGTCAAATTAAGAAAGTATGCATAATTTAAACAAACTTAAATATTGTTGCTGTTAAAAGAAAGAAACGAAACAAATGCTAATTGAAAACATTTTTATTGTTGCTTAATAAATCCATGATACAATTATTAGCCCAAAGGGCGTTAGCCCAGAAGAGCTATTAATTTCGTTTTAGCATTTTGTGGCGGTTCACTATAAACGGAATTTCGATTTTCAAATTGCTGCCATCAAATATTACGCCCAAAGGGGCTTTTTTTAACGTTTTCTGTGATATCTTTATTTATTAAATATCATGTTCTTCACACCTAAACCATATATTCAATTCAACAGCAGTATTACAAAATATTTAAAAGAGGATATCTGTACAATTTCCGAGTCTTGCGCATTTCCTAGTCTTGGAGATAAAAATGTGTTTTTCCTTGTACAGTGTTGCCATTGCTCGCTATGAAATCGTTGAGTTTCTTAATCAAAAAATCATAAATGCTTTACAAAAAATGAAATAGATAATGAAACAAACTCATAATTTAGGCTTCCAGATTACCTTATTCGGATGGACACGTATGTTATTCAAAATTTGATGATTTAGATACCGCTGTTTTATCACAATGCGAGAAAAATATATACATTTATGCGGATTTTTCATTATTTATTTTCTTTAAATATAATACAGGGCTCTAAAATTTGGTGGGAACCATTTAAAAAGTGATTCGCCGTTTGTAGCGAATCAACGCAAAATGCCAAAAAGAAATGAATAGGTCGTCTGGGAAATTGCCCCTTTGAGCTAAAAACTTCTTTCAAAATGGGTTTTGTTTTTATTGTATCTGTGTGACCGCAGCTATCAGTAACTTTACATGCATTTTTTTAAAATCTGCATCTTTCCGTTCTCTTCACCGCAAATTAGTTGATGTGTGCTGATTTAAACCGAGGGATTGAATGTTTTAGGTTTAGAGCTTCTGGCACCTTCGCATTGCAGTTACGTGCTATTGTCAACTCTGCCAAAGTTATTCTAGCTTTACTTATCTTGCTAGCCGCTGTGTGAAATACGCACCAGTAGTTACTTGAGCCAACTTATCTGTCTTGTAGACTACTTTGTGGGTAGTCTCAGACTACATTACCTCAGTTTGAATTTAACTTCATTTATGTTATTTAAAAACCCGCAAGTAACGGAATTATATTCTGTAGTACAAGTGGGGACTTCTAATAATTTAATGAGTTTGGTTTAAAATCTCTATGTCTTTATCATCTTATTTCAGACTCGTCTGAAATAAACTTAACTGTCTGTATAACTCGCTTTAGTGCTTTAAGACCATTCTAGATGAGTCTGAAGAACTTTGGTTGAAGATTCTATACAGCTAATTCCCTATACATTAATTATTTTATAACTGTTAAGTTGTTTCCATTTTCCTTTATCAACGGCTTCAAAATGTTTTGCAGAATTTTGCAACCTGCCTTTTCACACACGTTTAGGCTTCCGATATTTTAGCCATTTTACGCTGCTGCATGGTCTGCAAAAGTAAATCCTTTTTCCAATTTTGATTTTTCTAGATTTCAGTAGTAACAAGAATAGTTAGGTGTTAAAGTCTCACAACTACAGCAGTATTTACGATTTTAATTTTATTTAGTCTCCTATTTCGTGCTGGTGTGTTTTCTTAATGTATTAAAAAGAATAACGTTTCCGAATCTTTTGTGCGCTGTTTTGAAGGTTTTTTATCTTTATGTAGTTTTTGTTTATGTATCATTTTACATTTCATTTTACTTTGATTATGGATTTACTTTTATCACATAATGGCAGGAAGAGCGAAACACGTGTGTTCGGCACTCATTAAACATCAGGTTTTAATTGTTTTAAAAACTAACCCCTTGAAAAGTTGTATTTGAAGCATTAAACAGCAAGTGATAAATAGTTTTTATTTGTTTCTCCTAGAAATATGATGTTCAAACTTTGATACGCCTTTTAAAAAATTTTTACATTTAACATTTCACTATCAATTAAAGATAGACAAAATTAATATCTTAAACAATTTTTCCTAGGATAGGATAATCTTTTTAACAAAATTTTTTTATTGTAATAAATTCTTTAAATATAAAAAAAAAGATATTTTATTAAAAAAAATATTTTATAAATAGTACGAGTAAATGTAAATATTCTATGAAAAGACTAAAAATACAAAAAACATTATTTTTACCTTCAACTTACTAAGTATTTGTCTCACAATTGACAATATTCAAATTACAGGGTCAATTTTTAACAGTAATTAGCAGACTTTGTTTAGATTCCATTAAAATTTAAAAAATTACGTCGCATTTTCCACAGTATTGTTAACAGACAATTTATTTTTTAATAACAACGAAATTCATAAAATTAAACTTACGGGGAATGACATCAGAGCTGGTATGGAAGTCTCTGCAGCAGCTATCCAATTTTTTTCGGTCACCCAAATCTTTCAAATATTTAGGCCTAGTTTGTCTTGTACACCACTTAGTTCCTGAAATGAAATTTTATTTATGTGGTCATTGTTGTGGGCTACGAGTATGTGTTTGTTTTATTGAATAAACACTCCGCATGAACACGTAGGAACTGACAGTTTATTATAAAAAATTAACGATACAGCAAAATCAATACCTGTAAATAAGAACACGGATATTAAGCAATTCCTCTTTTGTTCAAGAAACTTTTCGTAAATTCAGCCACATATCTTTGAACCATAAATCTCAGATCTCATTAACAAGTCATTCAAGCTCTCGTAACCGTTATTTATATACTTTTTTTTCCAATGCCGGGCGCTTGCCTGTGCCAGCAGCACTTACGGCCACACCTAAGGCCAGGATGTGGTGGTCTCTTTATTATGGAGGCAGCTAATAGATGGGTCACTATTGCCTCCTATGAGGAGACACAATTTTTGAAAGCCCACTTTATAAAAGGGCTAAAACTTTTTGAAGTCTAGCCGTAAATACATTTTGGCTAGACTTCAGAAACCAAAGTGACCCTTAACAAATGCATTTAATGAAGATTATCAAGGAAATGATTACACATAGAATGAAATAGATGGAATTTACAGACGTAGAGAAATTCATGTCTTTTAACACAATTACAATTACAGTCTTGCACAGGTCATTCATTTTAATGGTGGCCTCGTCAAACCATCGGCGTAAACCAAAGCTGGATAAGGAAGATATAAAAATAAAATTAAAATGCATGAGATAAGGCCAGTGATAGCAGATGATGTTATTGTCATTCATCAATTAGTTCTTTCATTTCTAATGATGTTTATTCTTCCATTATTTACAGTGGGCTCCTTTTACTATACGGATTTATTCTCCTATCCAAAATATTTGAATATACAGGTAAATTGACAACAGCATTTTTTTTTAAATCATAATATGGACCATTCCTCTTTCCTGTGCCTTTTTTCAATTGCCCTCAGATAAACCGTATTTTTAAGTTAACTATGAACGTTGTCCTTGGTATTATCTCGGCCAGTTGGTAGCTGATTTTATGTAATTGAAGCTCTGTTGGACAAATATGATAACAGAAGAAACGAAAATTGCATGCATGAACCTGCTTACGTTTTCATTATCAAACTTTAATACTACTGCATTTGCTCTCTTATTCTATTAGAATCGAGAATAGAATAAGAATTATTTAACTGATATATTTATTATATTATGACTGATATATTTATTTATTTTGAGAATTATTTGACTGATATATTATTCAGTGCTTCTTCATCATCTCTATGGAAAATATTACTTAGAAGATGGAAAAATACGTAAAATTCACAAAATGTAAACTGTAAAGTTCTTGAAAGAGCATTATTTTTTCCATTGATTTAAAAAGTGATGGAAGTATCAAAGTATCAGTGTTACTAATTATTGAAATAAACTCTCAGTCCTTAATATGTCCATTTTTCGATTCACGACAGAATCATCAACAATCTCGTTACTCACACTAGCTTGCCACTTCTTCACTACTCTCTTTAAAACTGTTTCCCATCTCAGTTTCGATGTTTTAATATTTGGAATATACCAACATCTAAAATGAATGAATGAACTATATAAAATGAACTTTAACCAGTCAAATATCTTTCATTCTAGTCGATGACATTTTGCCATCTTTCTGGTAACTTTATGATTCCGCGCTTACAGAAATTCTGGTCTTTACCAGCAAAATACTCAACCAAGTACGATTTAAGGTCACAGTTATTACTGAGACTTTCATCATTTAAAAAGTTTTGTAAACTTTGAATTAAATGATCGTCCGGTGGTGCAAGGACTATATGGGGTATGTCACATCACTTCTCAATCAAGTTCCAATGATACGTGTTGTTAAAGAAGTATGAGGCCTTGCATTGTCGTGGAGGAACACGATTCCTTTGCAATTTGCCAATTCAGGCTTTTTCTTTGATTGTTTCCTCTGGTTTCATAAGTTGTTGGCAATAAACATCTGAGCCGATCGTTGGGTTGCTTGAGAGCAGCTCAAAATACAAAACACCTTTGTAATCCCACCAGATTGACAGCATGGGTTTTTTCTGATGCAATCTAGGTTTCGATATGATTTCTGCTTATTCATCATGCTTGGGCCATGATCATTTTCGATTTATGTTATTGTAGACGATCCATTTCTAATTACCAGTGCTCGATTAAGGAAAGGGTCGATTGCAAATACTGATTCGTTGCATTAAGTAAATATTTTTAAATTCATGCGGAACCCAAATATCGAGCTTCTTAACGAGTCCAAGACATCTTATGTGATTTTCAATTATTGTGTGTGATACACTTAAACTTTTTGCAAATTTTCGCACAGTTATATGACGATTCGATTCAATTATGGCTTTAATTTTGTTATTATGAGCTTCAGAAGGTCGGCCAGAACACTGGTCATCTTCAAGCGAAAAGTCTCCAAAACGAAATGTTTTCAAACCAGTTATGACGCATGCGTTCTGTTACGCAATCAGCACCATAAATTTCACATATCTGTTTGTGAGCCCCAACGGCATTCTTGATTTTATGAAAATAAAAAAGTAAAATATGTCGAAAATGTTTATTTCTGCACCCCATGTTAAAATTGACCCTAAAGTAACAGCTGCGAACAAAGACACACGGTATTTGTTTCGATAGTAACTGAAAGTGTCAGCTGGCAAATCTCAAAAGACAAAAAATATGAGATTGACAAAAGAATAACACAACGAACATAACGCTATCTATTTATGCAAACCCAAATTATTTTCTTGTAAATCCAATACTTAGCGGGAAGTAAACATTTGAAGGTTACAAAAGGCTTTAAATAATATTTCAATTTTACTATGGAATTTATCTTAGTTAATTATTTTCTTATGAAGGTTATTTGAGGCTGAATTATACGAAATATGTATGTATGATTTAAAGTTCCACTCTTATTTTTAAAAGGTTATGTATACAACTATTTACTTATTCACAGTCATTTGCAGATGAAAGAAATCATCAAATCTTTTAAAGTACATCCTTTACCTGGTAAAGTATTGTCCAATGATAAACGGCGTAACAAATTAGCTTCAGTTTCAGAGCGTTGGCTTTCTTTTTTTCTTCTCTATAAAAATAAAATTATCTAAAATTTGGTGTTATATTTCAGCAGAGAAAGAACACTATAAAAATGAATCGATACAGTTATTCAAAAAATAGTATATTAAAAAATAGGGATATTTCTTTACGAAGATACACCCTTTCAGCATTTTCAAGTGTTTTGCGTAATCCTATAATAAACGACAAATAACTTTTACTTGCAATCTTACTTGTGTAATTTTATTTCGGAGCTCTGGTTCATAGTGAGTTTTAAATGCTGTTCCTTAACATTTTGAGGTAAGAATCAAAAACAAAGTCGTATGCAGAAAGTTTTTTGGGAAAATAATTAGTTCGACGTGAAGACTTTTCAGAATAAAAGTAACAAAAAATTTAACGTAGTAAGTTTAAATTAAAAATATAATAACTGTATTTCAGCGCAAATATTTAAAGCATTTTCTTCACTCATACAGTTTTCCTTGGAATAATCATTCAAGGAAAAATGAAGAAAAAAGGAATTAAAATTTATTTTAAGAACCGTAACCAACGGCATTGGCACGTTAGCTAGATTAAAGTTCTTAGAAAATTAAATGGTATTGAAATTAATTTTAAGTGCCTTAATCAATGGCATTAGCACGATAGCTAGATTAAAGTTACTAGAGAATTAAAAGGAATTGAAATTAATTTAAAGTGCGTTAACCAATGGCATTGGTTTGGCTTATTAGATTACTGCAAAGCACTCGAGGGCTATCTGCCTTAAGGGAGGTATGCCTTCGTGGAGGACTTTTTAAGGAAAACTGGCTCGTATATACGTTACACATGGGGAAAACCACGAAAACACCCCTGCAGCCAGCCCGTTCGCGGGATTCGAACCTCGGACCGAACTACCAGTGTTCAGCGACGTTACCGCTCGGCCGCTGGTGGGCTTAGAGTTCTTAGGAAATTAAATGGTATTGAAATTAATTTTAAGTGCCTTAATCAATGGCATTGGCACGATAGCTAGATTAAAGTTATTAGAGAGTTAAAAGGATTTGAAATTAATTTTAAGTGCATTAACCAGTGGCATTGCCACGATACCTAGATTAAAGTTATTAGGTAGTTAAAAAGAACTGAAATTAATTTGAAGTGCGTTAGCCAATGGCACTGATATTATAGTTAGATTTAAGTTGTGAGGGAGTTAAATGGCATTGAAATTAATTTTAAGTGCCTTAACCAATGGCAATGGCACAAGACCAATGGCATTGGTACGATAGCTAGATTAAAATTATTAGGGAGTTAAAAGGAATTGAAATTAATTTTAAGTGCTTTGGGTAAGTAATGGGACTGGAACGGTAGCTAGATAAAAGTTATGATTCAAAGCCCCAAGGATAGTAGAAACTGAATAGGAATGTAATAGATATAAATAACATAAAAATAGGCAAAATCCAGTTTTTAATTTTCTCCTTTGATTGAGGTAAGTTGCCTTATTTACCGAACAGATTGAAACACAACATATTTCATTTATAAAGTTACCAAAGTGCCGTTTAAGCGTTTAAAGATATAATGTACAAGATAAGCAAACAAGCATTGGGGCAATGTATTATAACTTAACAGATGTTCAACACATCCAGATACCATAATGTTGAAGGGGCCTTCTTTATGCAGGAACCGGGAAACCCAATGGGGCATGTTTGAGTAATCCCAAAGAGCTAAGTATTTGCTGGTACTGTTAACTAAAACTGTACTGCAGCGGTTCTCAACCTTTTGACTAATGAGTACCATCTAAACAAAAACTGAAAAACTTTAGCTTTAATTATCAAAATATAAGATATAATACTTTATAACTTATATAATATTTAATTCTAAAATTTAGTGTGAAATTTGGCCTGTGTGTGAGACATCAGAGTTTCTTTATGTCTGGTAATATTTCACTTAGTTTTGACGGTAAATTAGAAAACACTTTTAATGCTGTTCTGCATTTATTTTTCAAATAAAACACGAAAGGAAATCCTTGTTCATACAAATAGGTTGTGCAAAATGGCAGCAAAAATTTAATAGCGTTATTTCAAATGCCTTTAAATTCGATTTTTTGGTTCAGCAAAAAGTTAACGAGTGTGTTAGTTTTGAAATCTTCAGCTAGAGTTCCATCACAGGAAATTTCTATCAATTGTTCTTTTTCATCACGAGATAAAATTTCAGGTACATTTGAACAAAATGGATTTCTAATCAAATTTTCTTTTTCATAATCCTCGAGATTATTTATTAGTGCAAAACAATGATTTTTATTGTCGGTTGCTAATTCTTCTTTTAGTTTCGAATTATTTTCTGTTAGAAAGCTTTTTAGAAGTGGTAAAACACTTAAAGTACTATTGTACAATTCTTTGATTATTAGTTCGAGTTCTTTTATCGTTGCACTTATTTTATCTCTAATGGATTAAAAAAAAAAAAAAAAAAAAAAAAAAAAAACTAACACTTTGATCTTGTAATCCTAAATTTAATTCATTTAACTTTCCAAAAGTCTCAGCTAAGTATGCTAAATGCGCCAACCATAATTCACTAAATAAACATTTTTGCAATTCAAGTTTTGAATCACAGATGAAAATTTGAATTTTTGATCGAAGTTCAAAAATACGATTTAAAACTTTCCCTCTGGATAACCGCTTTACTTCGGAATATTAATAAAAGAGTCTGATGTTCACCCATTTCTTAGCATAAAATCGTAAATATTCTTGAATTTAAAACTCGGCATTTAATAAAATTAACAACTTTCACAGCTTGATTAAAAAAAAAAAAAAAAAAAAAAAAAAAAAAAAAAAAAAATTCAGGTTTTTGGGGATTGTTTTGGATACTACAGTTTCACGATGAATACAGCAGTGAGTCAATTTAGTTTCAGGTACAACTTTCTTTATTTGAGAAATAATACAGGAATGATTTCTTGTTAAAGCCCGAGCTCCGTCACTGCATACGGCAATGCACTTATTCCACGGAATATCATTCTCAGATATAAAATTGTCACTAACTTGACAAAAAATTTTAAATTGAAATTGTCAGTGAAAGTTTCATTTGTAGTTGCTCTATCATGAAGAGATTCACAAAATAAATAATTTTCGGCAATTCGCTTACCTTCTTCGAAACGTATGTAAACTAATAATTGAAAAACGTTCTTTAAATCAGTACTTTCATTAAATAGCAATGTGAAATTCTATGTTTTATTTTTTTGAATAAGTGGCTCTTTTATGGAATTTGCCATTTCATGAATTCGTCGACTTACTGCATCGTTTGATAATGGAATATTATTAAGTTCATTAGCCACTATTTCGTTGTATAATGCTAAAATGGTTTCTTTAGTTGCTGGGGGGGGTAATAGAATATTTTCTTCAATAGTGTGAGTCTGCTCAGTGGTGGCAATTCTTAGGCTTACTAGGTAACTAGCTACAAAATGTTCCAATGGTTGCCAGAGCCTACTCCAAAGAGAGGTTGGACTTCAATTTTGAGGGAGAGCACACCGGGCAAGATCCGAGAGTCTCCCACCCCTCTCCCCTTCCACCAGTCCACACGAGAGGACTTTCGACTCACCGCATATTTAGAGTGCCGCCATGTCGCACCGACACAATACATTTACAAACATCCATGTCTTCTCCGGGATTATTTGAACCCAGGTTCTTCGGCACCATAGTAGGCTCCCCTAACCACTATACCGTCTGGACGACTATGGCTAAATGAATATTTGTGAAAATTAAACGGATTATTTTGCTAAAATCTATGAGTGACTATTGACCCTGAACAAAGCTCAGTTCGCATAAATTTACGAATGTTAGAGAAAAAACTTAAACAGGATGCTGGTGTATTTAATTTTCTAATTTAACAGTTAAAATACTTTGTTCCTTTGCGTACCACTGGTTGAGAATCGCTGCTGTTTTATGAAGACACACTAAAAAACTTTAGAGTGCTGTGATATGCAGATATTAGTTGCTACCGTCCTCTGAGGTAATGTAATTTTCGATAAAACTGATTATGTATGTTACAGATTTAGAGAAATCATCTAAAATGGTTTACCTTCTTTGAAATGAAGATGAATACAGACTTTGCAGATGATGAATGCAATACTTTCGACACATTTTTTTAATCAGTAGGAGACACTGAGTTACGTTATAGATATTCCTGCGATGATGCGGCAAACTTGCACAATTTACAATAGTCTGTTGTCTTTCTAAACTCATTCTTCAAAGATGGCATTGTTTTCAAATGACTATGTCTGCTAGGATTTTTAAGTTTTGAAACAATGAAGCAGACACCGAAAGATAAGACATTTTGCAACCTCGATTAATATGTTTGCAGTCTATATGTCTATCAACCCCGATCTATATGTTTGCAAACATAACATCACAGACGTGGAGAACCAGATTGTCGTGTGCTTGGAAGAAGATGGTTACTTTCAGTATTTGTTCTGATGCAATATATGTTGTTATTATCCCACGGTGCCTCCTGCCGCAGTTACTGTTAAGTACCACAAATTTATATATTCTGTCAGTTGAAACGATAACTTGAAAATTCTTATCAGTGAAACACTCTGCGTTTGGTATTCATTTGGAAATGTTTAAGAAAATATTTGTGGAAAAACTGCACTGACCATTCTCAAACAGCCATGCGGTGGTAGTCACACAGTGATGAAAAATAAAATGGAAAAAAATTATTCTGAAATAGAACAATAGATATATGAAAGATAGTTACTTATATACTTCGTTTAGTTACCGAATACCGAAGTATGGCGGGCTGTTACGGCAGAAATTAGGAATTCTAATGCACAAGGGTTGTACTTCAATAATGTCCTATATTCTTTGTATATGAATTGTGTGATATATTTTTCTTTTTGTCTTTTTTTTTTTGGTGATATTTTGTTTTGGTGTGAAGGTGGTGTTTAGTGTGGTGTCAAAAAATGTGTGGAGTTTAGAGCTGAACCCTCTATCCTTGTCTCAGTCATGAATTTAAGTATGACAATAGATCAAATATGATTTGAAATCAAGGCAGAAGGAAAACACGCCAAAAATAAAATTAGGAAAAGCAATAACTGTGTGTTTGGCGTAGATTTTAGATTACACTACCGATTTCGAAGGTAAACAGGTACAGGTCTCTTTTCAGCAGAAGCAAAGAAATGTGCAAGGAAGGGAAAGCCTCGATTGTATTTGTACCCAAAAGTAGTAAAGCGAACGAGAAGGTAGCACCATCTGTTGGTAGAAATAGTAACGAAAATTGAAAAGTTAAAAGAATTTTAAAGCGTTACGAAGAATTGGAATATAATTAAAATCTTCAACTAAACAAGATAAATCTTTGTGAATGTGAGAAGCTTCAAGAAACTAAAATTCACCAGTGAAAGTAGCTTTTTGACCCAAAGACAAAACTGTGATTAAATTTCCAACTAAGATTAGCTATCAAAGACTTCGTGTTACTACTTGATGTTCTTTTAGTTTGGCCAATATGTCTCAAATAAAATCTTTAAAAGTTTTACTAACTTAATTATTCAATTTCAGTTACTATTTCTTCCGACAGATGGCGCTACCTTGTTATTATCTTTACTCCTATTAGGTATAAATATAATAGTAGCTTTCCCTTCGTTTCAGATTTATTTGTTCTTGATAAAGAGGGACCTGTACCTTGTTTGAAGTTCAAATCGAAAGAGTGTTGACTAAAATCTATGACAAATACCACGTTGTTGCTTTGTCTAATTTTACGGTTTGAAATATTCACAACGTGATTTCTTTTTTATTTTCCTTTAGCTTACGATTCCAGTATTACATAATGAGGTTAAATTAAATGTATAAAACTGAAACAAATTCAATAACATTAAAGTTTTGAAAACAGTAAAACTAAAACGTAAAATTTACAAAGTAGTTAATTACATCGCAAATAAAACCAGAATTACAGAAAAACGGCCAACTGCAAAATTCCAAAAATTGTTACTAATGGCTTTTGTGGTATATTATGCTACAGAATTTAGAAATGATAAATAAATAAGTAAAATATTAAAATAATTATTGCAAAATTTTATTAAGAGCTGTATTGCAGTTTGTTGGAGGGGGGGGGGAAATCACAGTTCTTCTGACTGCATGCTCAGTTTTGGAGCTTTCACAGAAATATACACATTTCCCACACTTTATATAAATAAACTACATCCAAGAAAAAAATTCCTAAATAAGATTATTGTGTGGCACTACAAGTCTTAAAAAAAAAAAAAAAAAAAAAAAAAAAAAAAATTGGTATTACTAAAATACTTCCAAATCAAAAATTTCTTAAAATTAAAAAAATATGATTCTTTACCGTATCCCTGATGTATTTTCGACATTTTCTTCCCAATTTTCTGACATCCGTTTCTAGCATTTGGTATTTAACATTCTCATTTTTAGTTGATGAGATAGCCTGAAAAGGAAAAATTAGAAGTAATTATTTAATTACTTTAAAATTTTACTGCATAAATACATCTCTGAACAAAAAAATGCGGATGTAGTAGCCTGAGAACAACTTTACAGTGAGTGTAGAAAGTATTCGTACTGCAAAAGTTATGATCTAAAAACGCCTTGTTGATAAAAACTATAAGCTTAAATTCGACAACAAGTAATTCAATATGTATAATGAAATATGCCTGAATAGTTCCATGTGAAATTTACATGAAAATGAATGCATGCATAAAAAGGACATTTAAAGAAACAAAATAATCCATCATCGTGTGTGTAAAAGGTATTCGTACATTATACATAATGTTGAATATTTTTATAAATATTGATATTCAACATTATGTATAATGTGGAATTGAATCCACATGAATATTTTGAATATTATTTTATAATTATAAGATATTTATAACAATATTATTATGTGAATCATTTGTTGTTTTGAACTTTTTTTATGAATATTTTGATAAATATTTGGAATTATTTTATAAATTTATAATATTTTATAAAAACTATGGTATTGTGAATGAATTTTTTATGAATATTTTAGAATATATTTGATATTTTTATAAAATTATTTATAAAATATGGAATATTTGGATGACTTTATTAAATATTTCGGAATATTTTTTTTATTCTGAATTATAGTTTTGAATATCTTTTTCTAATATTTCGAATATTTTCTAAAAACTCTTTTTTGATATTTATTTAAAAATATTGAATATTTGCTGCTATTTTTTTTTACCTATATTTGTATTTTTTCTATTTTTCTATTTAAAATTTAATATTTCTTAATTTACTGAAGTAATTTATAAAAATTTTTCTTTGAATATTTTGATTGAATATTTTATAAATTTTTATATTATTTATTTAACACCTTGTAGGATATCCTTTTATCCTTTAGGGTGAACAACGGCTTCGAGTCTCCTTGGCATGGATTCAATCAAAGTTACTGTTACTCACCTAGATATGGATTCCCATTATTATTTAAGAGCAGTTATTAAGTCATTTTTATTAGAAATGTGCCTGGATCTAACATTTTTATGAAAAATGTCCCTTAATTTCTCAATGTGATTGAGTTCGGGTGATTGAGGAGGAAATTTCATAAACTCCAGAGAAATATAATATCCAGAGCCACGTATTTAGAGCTGTATGCTTGGGGTCATTATCATGCATGAAAATATATTCAGTATTTAAACCCATTTTTGTCTTACTAGACCGTAATTTATTTTTCAGAATATTAATATTTAGCAGATAGTTCCTAATGCCATTCATGGTGACTAAATTACCGATTCCAGAACCACACATACATCGTCAAACCAACACCTCTTCACCTCTGTGATTTATCCTCCCCCCTGTTGGTAATAAACGCCTTTGATGCATTTCTGGATCTCGTTTCCTCCACACCTTTCGCCTCTCGTCCGTTAAAAAAACTATGAAATTTGATTCATCTGAAAAAATAATGTTCTTTCAGAGTTCCTTTTGTTCATTCACGTAATTTTTGGCGAAGGATAATCGTAACTTCTGATTAGTCTCACTTACAGGGAATTTTCATCTCGCAGCATGGTCATAGATCAGACAGTAACGAACAAGGGCTTAGAAAAGAACATGAAATTTCCTGTGTTTAAAAAAAATAAGAATGCGTTTTGGCGTTACTTCAGACTGTTTCTTTATATGTTCCTACGAAAGAATTTCGAGAATGTTCCGGTGAAGATATTTTTTAAAATTAACCCGTTAACCCCCAAATTATTTTAAAATGAGAATTTTTGAAAAATATTTTTAAATTACATTTTTTATATCATAAATAAAGGAATTATGAAGTTTCATTCAATTACCATAATTAGAAGTTCAGATAATAGGGGATCTATAAAAAGATCGCTGGGCGCTTCTAGTAATAAAAGAACAAGTATTTGCTTATTGATCTTATGTTTACAAATTTACGAATTTAGTTACAAAAATATGAATTTTTTGCAAAATTAAAACCAACAATAAGATTCAAAAGAAAAAAAAATCTTATTTGACTGATCTAAACTTCCTTAGTTATATTTTTATTGAGCAAATTTGCAATATTTAAGTGAGATATAGCGGAAAACATTTCACACAAATTGTTACATCGCATTTTGTACAAAACGTAATAGGACTTCCCTTACATTTTGAAACTGACGTCTTCTTTGGTTTCGTCTTTTACCTATAAGATGGTCTTTTCTACCTCAACGTACAGAGCCTATCGCTTTGGTCTCGATGACATCACCAAATGTCTTCCAATGCTTTTCTTCGAATTTGTTCCCAGTTTAAGGTATGCGACCGCGATATGTCTTCGGAAGTCTTTTATGCTTTTTTTCACCACTCATGTTCCAAGCGGTTCATCCGAAGTTTCAGAGTATTGTCAACATCTCCGCACCACATTATAAGTCAAAATTATAACAGTAGCCCTTGACTCCAACATGACCCATGATTTATAGCAAAACTGTCTTATTTTTCCACAGTTTCGCATATCTTTCTGTTTCATTTACTACACATTCGTTAAATTCGGGAGTTAAAAATTCTTCAAAAATTTCAAATGGATTCATAATTTCTAAAAAATAATATTCTTCGCAATTTCATTCGACTGCGATCATTATAACAGAAGCCTGTGCATGCTCCTCAACTTGCACCTATTCAACCTATTCTATTAGAAGGCGCTCCTCAATAAGCAGAAGCCTTGTGCAGCTCCTCAACTCGCACCTATTTATTATAGATAGGCGCTCCTCAATATAACAGAAGATTGTGCAGCTCCACAACTTGCACCTTTGTTTATATAGGACGCTTCTCTTTAACCAGAAGCATGGGGCTTCCTCAACTTGCACCTATTGTATTAGAAAGTCTCCTCTATAAAACCAAGCAAAGTGCAGTTCTCAACTTCTACCCTTGTTTTTATTTTATAGACGCTCCTCTATAACCAGAATCATTGTGCAGCTCCTCAACTTGTACCTATTCTTTTAGACAGCCGATCGTCTATAACCAGAAGCATTATGCAGCTCCTTTGTTATTACCTTCTTTGTTAAAAGCATAAGTAGGGTTACTTTTTGTCCAATTTGCTTTTGGTTGCATTTTTTTTTTATTATTTCGAACTAACTCTATTTTATTTTCATTTTCATTACTGACGCTAGGTGTAATGTTACGTCCAAAATCATTTATGTTTTTACCAATGGAGGGATCATTTCACCATCATCAAAGCACTCTTCGTCTGTTAACTCGTCGTTCTCAGGAGATAAAGTAATTACATCTGGCTCAATCTCCTTAGAAAACATATATTCTAATGCTTCTTCGGCGGTATGAAACACTTTACCCCTGGACATTTTGGAAAAAATGATAAGGAAAAAAAAAAAAAAAAAAAAAAAAAAAAAAAAAAAAAAACAGTATTAGTTACCACTAACGCCCAGGGATCTATTTATAGATCAGCATGTTTAAGCTAAAAAAATAACTATAAGAACAGTTATTTTTCTAATCTAAATCACGCAGAACAATTAAAGAGGTACTGAAAACGTAGAACACGTAAGAAATGTATAATTTAATTTTTTCCCCCATTGGATACAAAATCGATAGTTGCGCTATGAAGCATCACTTGGTTAACTTTAGAAGTTATCTGCTGGACTGCTCTGGAAAAGAATGTTTCAAAACGCCTTTTGGGGTATGGCCACATGTGTATGAAAATCAGCCAGTGACAAAAAGAAGTGATTAGAAGATATTGTTCTCAATGGTCCTTTTAAAAGTAGGTGATCTATAAATAGATCACTGAGCGGTAACGGGAATTATATTGCCGTAAGAGAGATTGGCTTTTACTATCACATTAAAGCTATTTATAGATAACGTTTTTTTAAAAATTTTAATTCTATGTATTTATAATTTTTCCATGACCAGTCATGACCGAGTATTTCATTTTTTAAAAGAACGTGCATTTTATTAGCTGCAGTGTATATTACAACAAAAAATCATATTTTTTTTATAAATAGGATTCATTTAATTAGTTTTATATTATTACTAATGCACTAAAGCTAAGAATATTCGAAATAATTTTCTGACATTCTTGAAGAATATAAATATTGTAGCTTAAGTTTCTTACCATTTATTTCTTGATTTAGTCACTGTGATTTTGTAATAATTATTATCTATATAGCTTTCAATAAGTTTTGCCTAAAATTAGCTTAACAACATAAGAAACGAATTTAATGAAACCGAAGTTTTTAAAATGGATTATTTATTATCATATACATATAATGCAACTGAAATAAAACAAATTCTAACCTCCTTGAACAATTGCCTAGCAATTGTTGCATTATCTGGAATTATAGTACATTCTTCAAGTCGTCCAGATGAACCTAGAAACGTCACTACGGTCATTTTTCCATCAGACAGGATGTTGATGGTGTCCCCATCTGATGTTCGCTTTTGACGATAAAAACTCTCCTCCACTTTGCACAGAACATATGTTATCATAAGATTTCCGAAGAAACTGACCATGAAAAACAAAGTAATATTAGATATAGAATTATTTATTTATTTATTGTAAAAGGAGAGTTGTTCACAAGTAACAAATAGTGACATAAGGACTAGATAAGGGTTTAAAATTGCTCCGATTTTAGCCAAATTAACGGCTTAAACATAAAACTACAATTTCTATTTTAACCATTCTTCTTTGTTTCTTTTTGTCTCCGCCTAGGCTAACTCTTTTGAATTTTATCTTTTTATCTCATTATAATTTTAATTTTTTACTCTAAGCTTTTTCAATCTCCCTCTAATCTTCGGCAATCTTTCTCTAAATCTCGTTTATACTGGTTCCTCATTTAGTACGCCTCAATTTTTCTTCCGGGCTTTTTATTTTTTTTAATGTTTTCCACAACGGTTTTCTATCCACTCTGCCAGACCAGTGGGTCTTTCGTTCTTTCACCCCCCTTATTCGTAATTTTTATTAATTTTTTTCTTATTTAAATAATCTTGGGTCCCTCTTAATTCTGCCTTGCTTTATTTTTTTTCCATATTTAACCCTGGACCACCCAAGTTAAGTTTTTTTTTAATAACTCCTCCTTTATTCGATTTCTCCCGTCCTTTTTTACCTGTTTTCATGTTTTCTTTAATTTTCAATAAGAAATTCTAAACGTCAAATGTTCCTTCTTTTTATTATAATTTTCCTATTTAGTCCCATTCTTTTTTTTTTTTTTTTTTTTTTTTTTTTTTTTTTTTGGGTACTTCCCGGTCCTTTTTTTTTCCACTGTTTTTCTTCTTGCGTTTTCCCCTTCCTTTTCCTTTTCTCCCTCTTTTTCTTTTTTTTTTGTTTTTTTTTTTTTTTTTTTTTTTTTTTTTTTTTTTTTTTTTTTTTTTTTTTTTTTTTTTTTTTTTTTTTTTTTTTTTTTTCTTTTTTTTTTTTTCCTGTGACGTTTTGTTTTAAATGTTTTTTTGTCCTGCTTTATAAGAGTATGAATTTAAATTAGAATGAAATGTTAATCTACAATGAATACTAACCTAAAACACTAGGTTCTTAATCGTAAGAATGTCAAGGTAAAATCTTCTGATGACCCATAAATCTTAAGCTTTTTTATTTTTGTGGTTGTATTTAGTAGAAGGTTTGGCACTACTATACTACAAAATCTCTTAAGACTGGGATAGACTCCCACCTTTTACGAATCAAATGGCAATATGGTGGAATTTAATCTTTCCTTATATGTGGAAGAAATCTTCCAAAGAGCATAAAATTTAAATTCCAAAAAAATAAGAAAATATGAAACATTTTTTTGTTAACTTAATTTTATATAATCGACCCAAAAAGGGTTTGTTATAGACGTTCACTAGAGCTTGATGACCTTAAATTCTTGAATTGCAAGAAGATATTTTTATTTATTTTTAAAAATGCTTCCACTCGTACTGCTGACTACATAATTACAGCTGTTGGAAACTAGTAAACCAGAAAGTTTGTGTTGCCCACAATATTTTTGTAATTGAATCCGCTTTGGGAAAATTTTCGTCATGTTTCCACCTTGTGCGCACGATATTTTAAAAATGGCTGATGGTCATACTTGAAATTTCTGGAATTCCTTATATGGCACTATCTTCTAACTGCAAAGATATGATGAATATTTTAATATTAAAAAAAATTATGCATGAAAACATTCCAAATTTTTTTAATAAAATGCATTTTATAAACTCGACTCCAAATAAAATAAAAATTTAATATGAAATTCTTAGAATTTTTGATTCACAGTAGAGCTACATATTAAATATGGAATTAAGTTATGCAACAGAATGTTTTAAACTTTGCGCGAAAGACGAAAACCTTTGTCACAAAGCGGATTAAATTATTAAAATATTTGTGGCAACACAAACTTTCTGATTACTATTTCAGAAAGCAGCTATATTATGTAGTCAGCTGTAAAAAGGTGAAAATAATTGCTTTTAAAATTAAATAGTTATCCCAATTCTTGTAACAGTCACACATTCGAAGATCTTATGGGTTTTAAGCAGTATAAGTCCCCTTAAAAACAAACAAAACAAACAAAATTATTTCCCTTGCATAATTAAAATTGCCAAAGATATTCTGAATTTAGCATTTTATTAAGGAGGTGGTGTATACACATACTTTCAAGGCCAACTTCGTACGTTAAACTTTCGAATAAAGTTCGTTAAAAGACACCTTTCATGCCAGAAAAAAGATAAAATTCAAATGTGTATCAATCGACTTAATTTAGTTTTCGTATAACTCCTAAAAATAAAGAACTTTTGGCTATTTTTCATCGGATAAAAATGTCTTAATTTATACAATTTTTGAAATTTTCTTCTGTAAAATTAATTTTTTACACTGTCGAGCGTTTTTTACTTCTACACGATATTTAATACGACAAAGAATTACAAATTATTTTTGTTGAGCTCAGTTATTATAAAAATTAAAATTTTTGTTGGTACATGGCGAAAACTGCAGTAGCCTGAAAGGCCGAAACTGTCTCATGACAAAAAAATATCAAGTTATAAAAGTATTTTTATTAGTATTCTTAGAATAAGCTAATTATTTGTACTGAAAAAGAGATAAACAAATGCATGCAAAAGAATATATTGATTTCTTTTTTGATTACAGTTAATTCCGATTAACCGAGGGTCGATTGAGAAGCATCCTTTAAAAAAAGGAGAAACGATAAAACATACGATTATAAACCATTAATGCAAAACAAAACTGTTTATGTAAACTTATTAAATTACTAATTCCTGTGCTGCTAGTACAAAAGTTTTAAAACAAGGTGAGGAATTATTGACAGACTATTGATTGTTGATCGTTGACCATAACTTAATTAAAAGAATATTGTTTCTGAAATTCCTTTTAATATTAATTTTTTTTTTAACTTGTGTAAAATCATTTTACATCAGTGCTCAGTGTTAACGAATATTTTAGATGTCATCATCTAACAAATAATTAACAACTGTTTTTGTTAAGACTGAATTCTAATATTTTTATATTAACTGCAACGTTTTTAATATTATTGAACTCTTTGAATTTCGAACTCAGAATTTTTTAAACCTGTTTAATTTTATCCACTCTGAATCTAATAACTGTATTTTCTCGTGTATTTCCCCTAGCATTTTAGGACGAGGTTTTGAAAAAATAAAATTTTTTATATGCACTTAATTTTCCTCTTCCTCAAGGCGTTCAAGAAAGTAAGTTTCACTAAATTTTAAAGGGGATTCGAACATGTAATGGTTGTTTTAATCTTCCTAATTGATATGCCAATGGATTTTGTGTGCATGGGCGCTGACTGATGAACCAATGGTGGAATCTGGTGGTTCTGAAGATCATTATATTAGTAAAGTAAAACGGTCACATTGACGATGGCGATAACCTGCAACAAACGACAAGACAGCAGTTCCAGCTGAACTATATGGCCTAGGGTGTTCGGGGGCAAGATTCAAGGCACAGGGAATTAATTAGAAATGATAAATACCTTGCTAGGTAATGCAATGTTAATATTTCTATGTATTCTTATTGGAAGGTAGGGTTTTTTTTTTGTTTAAAATAAATAATATTGTGATAGTTACAGGCAGTTTATACATGAATACATTTTATTTGTTATTTGTTTTACTAAAGCAATGTCTATCGCAAATTAAATTATTCGTACACCAATATAATAATATAAAAAAAAAAAAAAAAAAAAAAAAAAAAAAAAAAAAAAAAAAAAAAAAAAAAAAAAAAAAGGGGAGCAAAATACGAGAGTCAATACGGTAATCATAATGACTGTTCATTTTAATACTTTCTTAAATACCTTTGTATAATGTCTGTTTAGCAATAGTCTTATAAGGTATTTCTCCCGCCTTCTTAGCGTGCCTTCGTGGTGTAGTGGTCTGAACGCTGGGCGCATATTCCAGAGGTCCACGGTTCGATTCCCGGCGAAGGCGTTGCTCATTTTTCACATCTCCTGCTTCCAAAAAATACTTAATGTCTCTACAATGGCGCCCAAACTAAAAGGGTGGTGGATCATAATTCTCAACACCTAGGATTTGCAGATTGGGTCCCTTAAAAACCCCAGTCGCACTTTAAAAGTTGGAGTACATTAGGTATTTCTCCCGCTTTCTTAGCGTGCCTTTGTGGTGCTGTGGTCTGCACACTGGGCGTGTATTCCAGCGGTCCGCAGTTCGATTTCCGGCGAAAGCGTTGCTTATTTTTCATCTCTACGGCTCGAAATAACCTAATGTCTCTACAGTGTTACTGTTTTATTCTGTTAATCTGTTGTTAATTATAAGCATTATTTACCATTCTGTTCACTGTAAATCTGTACTCCTCCAATTTTTTATCAGTTTCAATAAATATGTGTCTAACTTACCGCTCTCTCTTTTGGCCGTGGATGTTTCTAAAGCAGACAGTAGTCTAAAGTGGATTTTTACGCCAAATAGACAATTTTACTGGAAGCTTAGTAGCATGTTGACTGTATAGCTGCCGATGTAAAGTAATGTCAATGAAAAATACAAAAAGGAAAAGGAAAATGAGTGATTTTAATTATTTACGTGATGTTAGATTATTTAATAGTTGATTTTAGTTTCAACAGTATTTAATTAAATTATATAATTAAATTAATAATATTTCACAATTAAATTTATACGATCATTGTTAAATCATTCGCTGAAAGTAAATTTCTCAATTGTAAAATAAATCAAGTATGCAGCCATTAACTTTCTGTTTCACATTGACTGCTGTCCAAATACAGTTTCTTCATTTCTAATGGTCTTTATTCTTTGTTTATTTATAGAATCTTACATTTGTTTTGAATATTGATTGAATGTACTTAAACCAATGAACTTATTCAGCAGATTAAATTGCTTGCAAATACAGGTAAATTGCTATTCGCATTTTTGTGTCAAATGAAATATAGGTTATTCTGCTTCCTAAGTTTTTTAACTATCTTAAGATTAACTGTGATTGAGTTAATCGTGGACATTGTCATCAATATTAGCCGAACATAGAAATGTTTTAAATAAAACTTTCATA